CACCCAGACTGGCCAGGCACCCCAGTGGGGACCCCCACCCTGAAGGGTGTGTGACTAGCTGCAAACAGCCATCATCCCCTCATCCAGGCTGGCCAGGCACCCCAGTGGGGACCCCCACCCTGGTGTGTGACCAGCTGCAAACAGCCATCATCCCCTCATCCAGGCTGGCCAGGCACCCCAGTGGGGACCCCCACCCTAATCCAGGACACCCTTCAGGGCAAACCAGCCAGCCCCCACCCATGCACCAGGCCTCTATTCTATATAGTAAAAGGGTAATATGCCTCCCAGCACCGGGATCAGCGGAGCCGCGAGGCCTCCCGGCACCGGGATCAGTGTGACAGGGGGCAGCGCCCAAACCCCATGATCACCCTGCGGCTCTGTGTGTGACAGGGGGCGGGGCCACAACCTCCCTATCAGCCCTGCTCTGTTCATGACAGGGGAAGGCACCCCAACCCCCTGATCGGCCCCGCTCTGTGCCTGATAGGGGGGAGCTCCCCAATCCCCTGATTGCCCTGCGGCTCTGTGTGTGACAGGGTGCGGCGCCCCAACCCCCCCAACCCACGGGCCCTGCTCTGTGTGTAATGGGGTAGAGCCATAACCTCCCCATCGGCCCTGCCCTGAGTGTGACAGTGGCGGCGCCCCAACCCCCTAATCGGCCCTGTTCTGTGGGTGATAGAGGGCGGCGCCCCAACCCCCTGATCCGCCCTGCTCTGTGCGTGACAGGGGGGAGCTCCCCAACCCCCTGATCCGCCCTGCTCTGTGCGTGACAGGGGGGAACTCCCCAACCCCCCGATCGGCCCTGCTCTGTGCGTGACAGGGGGTGGCGCCGCAACCTCCCCATCGACCCTGCCTTGAGTGTGACAGGGGGCGGTGCCCCAACTCCTCAATCGGCCCTACCCTGAGCGTTACTGAGGGTGGCATCGCAACCTCCCAATCTGCCCTGCTCTGTGCATGACAAGGGGTGGCGCCCCAACTCCCCAATCAGCCCTGCTCTGAGCCCGACGAGGGGCTGCACCTAGGGATTGGGCCTGCCCTCTGCCACCCGGGAGCAGGCCTAAGCCAGCAGGTCGTTATCTCCCGAGGGGCCCCAGATTGCGAGAGGGCACAGGCCGGGCTAAGGGACCCCCCTTCCCCCAGTGCACAAATTTTTGTGCACCGGGCCTCTAGTTGTCAATAAAAGGGGTAGAAAAGCCCTGTCTGGCTGTGGATAGAGCATTGGCCTATGGATGGAAGGGTCTCTGGTTTGCTTCTGGTGAAGGGCATTTACCTCCGTTGCAGGCTCAATCCCCAGGGTGCGTGTGGGAGGCAACCAATTGATGTGTCCCTCTCACATCAATGTTTCTCTCTCTCTCTGTCCCGCTGCCTCCCTTCCCCTCTCTCTAGAAATCAATGGAAAAATATCCTCGAGGGTTAACAAAAAAATAAAATAAAAAGGAGAAGGGAAATTCAGGCGAAACATTAATTCTAACCTTGAAAATCAATGAAAACAGTGAAAGAGAAATGTTTAGAAGAGATTAAATCTCTACATTATCAATGTAAAAACATTACTCAAGTTTCTTCCTAACTTGAATATGAATCATACCAATCATACCAATTATCATTCACTGAAGTTTTTAAAATCAGTAATTTTTCTTGTCCCCAATCAAAAGCAAATTACATTTGGCTTAAAAGGAACAGTATTATTTTAAAACTCTCAGTCAAAATATTTATAATGATATATTTTTTTCTTATAGCATTAAGGATAAAAAAGCATTCCAAACAATGACCATGTTGAAAAGCCAATATTCTGTGGGTCGTTCTTACTTTAATACTTCATCGGACTGTCAATACCAGAGCATGATTATTGTAAATATTATGCCTGGAATGGAAAAGGTGGATATAACAAAACTGTATTCTTCTGAAATTGCTTTAAAATATATCTGTGAACTGTTATTTTATCTAGGCACTCCTGTCTTCACTGAAATCAACTTGTTTCAAAATTCATACTTATTCACCTGACTTTTCTTTGGTAAATCCAATTTCATATTCCAAAGTTAACACAACTCTTGGAAACAAATAGTGCAAGCTGCCTCCTCCACGGGACAGGCAGACTCACACTGATGTTGTTGTTGTGTCCGTCATATCAATGTTATACGAAATGTAGATTAGCCAGACAAATATGATTTTTTTGTAAGAAAGCCTCACTAGCCCTAGCCGGTTTTGCTCAGTGGATAGAGCGTCAGCTTGTGGACCAAAGGGTGCCGGGTTCGATTCTGGTTCAAGGGCATGTACCTCGGTTGCAGGCTCCTCCTCGGCCCAAGCCCTGGTGGGGGCATTAAGGAGGCAACCAATCGATGTATTTCTCTCACATAGATGTTTCTCTGTCTCTCCCTCACTCTTCCGCTCTCCCTAACAATCAATGGAAAAATATCCTGGGGTGAGGATGAACAAAAAAAAAAGCCCTCCCCAGAGGCCAATGGGTGTCCTGTATATCGAAAAGCTAATCTCACCCCAAGAGAGGCCTGGCCTTTGCCCTCAGGCAATGGGAGGGGATCCCGAGGCTCCTGGAATATCAGGCCAGACAGAAGTATCTTTGTTTTCCTGGGGACTTGGCCACCAAGCAGTCTAGCAATGTGATTTATGAGAGATGTAATTTACAGGGGACATGTGGTATCTGTTTTACTTCTGAAACTAAAGGTACCACCCCAACCTCTGGGAAGGGCTAGAGACTAATGGTCAATCATGCAAGCAATATGCTGAGACTCCCAGAACCCTGGAAAACAACAGCTCAAGTGTGCTTCCTTGTTGGCAACACTCCACGCTACTGCGCACATGGGTGCGCCTGGTACTTCTCCTGGACTCTGCCCTGTGCGCTGCTTCTCCTGGCTGGTTCCATCTGCACCCCTTCCATCAATAGGCTGTAACTCTAAGCACAGCTTTCAGTGAGTTCTGTGCGACCCTGCAAGTTATGGAAACTGAGGGTCGTTTTGGGAACCGCCCAAATCTGCAATTGATGTCAGACGTAAGGGTGGTCTTTTGGAATTGTTCCCGCTATTTCTGAAGTTGGCCCCAAATCCTCACAGTCACTGAAATATCAAATGCACTGTAATACAGTGACTGTCTTTATGTAACATAATTTCAATAATGGTGCACAGCCTGAGTTCACCTATAGCTAACAAATTTTAACTATAATGTTATCTATTCTTTATTAATTTCAGACTATAATAAAATTACCTCCTCCATTAGCAGTAAGAAAAATGACAATTTTGAAATGGGACTCCAGCCTGGGAGAGACTAAGAGTGGTTTTATATTAGCTTCATGCCGTGAAGTATTTCTATCTCACTGTAAAAGTGTAATGATTTTACATCTACCAAGAGGATACCTGCCGAATCACACCACAAATCCACACTGAAAGAGATGAATCAGCCCAAAGCCCTGGTGGAGGCCAGCACACACCTATCCTTCATAAAAAGCTTAGGGGATAAGGGATGGAAAACTCTCCAGAACTGAATTCCATGGGTTTCCCCCAACAAACCCATTAAGATAGGTTGGATCCATTTCCTATAATGCATCAGTACTTTTTTATTTATTTATTTGTTTTTAGAAATATATTTTATTGATTTTTTACAGAGAGGAAGGGAGAGGGATAGAGAGTTAGAAACATCGACCAGCTGCCTCCTGCACACCTCTTACTGGGGATGTGCCCGCAACCAAGGTACATGCCCTTGACTGGAATCGAACCTGGGGCCCTTCAGTCTGTAGGCCAATGCTCTATCCACCGAGCCAAACCAGTACATTTTTAGAGTTAAACATAATCTATAAAATGTTAACAGTAAGAAGATGAGGTCAATAAAACTGCAATCACAAACCTTGAATATAGAACAAATTCCATTGGGGAAACACGGGAGTTATGAAGAAAGCCATGAATGAGAGAATTGTTTTTAGTTTTTGTCTTATTTTTGAACTAGGGTAAGGAGAGATTACTTCAAAAAACACATTCCACTCCAAGAATTTGTTCAAGTCAGTACTTAACTTTAAAACAAACACAGGAGAGCACACATACACCAGTAAGTCCCATGAAACCAGCTTAATTTGCCTTCAGAGAGAGATTCTATTCAACAAAAAGCTAGTGTGCCTGCACCCTTACGCTCTTAGTCTAATCTGAAATTTGGACATTTTCACATGAATTATCTATGCCAGAAAAGAAGTAAAAGTATGCATGAAAAACATGAAAACATAACTTGACAATGTCTGTTCATTAGTTATTTTATCCTGTTTTAGACTCTTTACTTTTAAATATAATTTCAATCTCACAACTCTTTAGTCCTCCACATGTTTTAGTCCTCCACTTTATCGTACACATTCTTACTTTAAGTTATCTAAATCCATCATGGAATGAGGTGAAAAGGAAAGAAATGACTAGGTAAAGAACTCGACTGAGAAAATAAAAGCCAGTGGACACTATTCAACAGTAACTGATGCAACTAATTTTGAAATTTAAATATAATTTAGCCTAAATATCAGATAACAACAACTGTTCCTAAAATATGATTTGATGATGAGAGTACTACACTGCAGCAACCTATTAATCCACACTCAGTAAGGAAACCTTGCAACAACCATAACGCTCCAGGTCTAGTAAAGAAAACCGTCAGAGAGGAATAATACAATACATCTCCTGAGCACAACAGGAAAACACTAGTCTATAACTCCAGGAGCTTAAAATCTAATGGAGAAAATAAGGCAAATATAAAAATAAAGAAGGTGATAAGGAATATTATCCTATATTGAACACAGCATAAATTACCAGTGATCTTATACAAATTGTTCACCTTAGTTCATCGCATTACTGTGTACCACATTCAGGGATGTGATGTGCCTTGGAGAGGCAAAACAATTAAAACCACCGCAGAATAAATACTTTGATTGATGAGAAACGTATCTTAGTCCCCAATAAATCTGGTATAAATAGACCTCTGCTTCTAGATATCACAAGGCAATGAAGGAACATCTTACTCACCTGTGTACATAATGCAGCTGATGAACGGAATCAATTGCTATCACCATCTCAGCCAAGTAAAATCGAGCCATATCTTCAGGCAATCTATCTTCAAATTTGCTGAGCAGAGTAAGCAAATCCCCACCAACATAATAATCCATAACTAGATACTTGGAAAGAAACAATAAAATGTACTCAATAAATTTTTAAAAGGGCGAAAAAGAGTATATTTAATGTAACCCAAGGTCAAACAGCACTAAGTAAAAGACTGGTTGTCAACTAACAAGAAGCTACATAAGATTATCATCAGCAGTCATTACAAAACCTGTAAAAGTCATAAAGCAGTAAAATACACTTTTAAAAACTGGGGCAGGGAACAACATAGGATTACTGTTGTTTTATTACTGTATTTTGCAAAGTAACAACATCATGACCTCCAATAATACACCATAGTTTTACCAACATTTCATTGAAGAATGAACATTTTAATTCTGCAAAGTTCATTTCAAAAACTCAGAATATATTACAGTTCTTTATGTTGAATAAATTCATTTTCATCATCACTACATTTCCTTATTTCATCTTGGAGCAGTAACAACTTCATTATAATGAGCAGCTGGATAAGCATTTGAAAACCACTGCAACAAAGAATACAGTAATTCTCACGATACCTATGCTTCTCTTCCCATTTCTAATCGTGCACAAATATCAGAATGGACCTTTCTAGGGTACATATAAACAGAAGGCAACTAATTTTAGATATGGACTATTATGAGTTTGTGTCTGATACTGAGATTTATAATAAGAAATATCTATCTATCTATCTATCTATCTATCTATCTATCTATCTATCTATCTATCTATAGGCACAGAGCAGAGATCCTGAAAACTCTTAGAATTTCTTAAGTGACAAGACAAAGATGTCTTTTATCTATATACTAGAGGCCCAGTGCACAAAAATTTGTGCACTCAGCAGGGAGGGGGGTCCCTCAGTCCGGCCTGTGCCCTTTCGCAGTCTGGGACCCTTCAGGGGATGACCACCTGTTGACTTAGGCCCGCTTCCCAGGGGATTGGGCCTAAGATGGCAATCAGACATCCCTCTGGCAGCCCGGCAGCCCTAGGGGGATGTCCACTTGCCAGCGGGGAGCAGGCCTAAACTGCAGTCAGACATCCTTAGCACTGCTGAGGATGCAGGAGAGGCTCCCACCACCACCCCTGTACTGGCAGCCATCAGCCTGGCTTGTGGCTGAGCAAAGCTCCTCCCATGTGAGAGCGCCCTGACCACCAGAGGGCAGCTCCTGCATTGAGCGTCTGCCCCCTGGTGGGCAGTGTGTGTCATAGTGACCAGTCATTCCCAGTCCTTCTGCCGTTAGGGTCAGTTTGCATATTACCCTTTTACTATATAGGATAGAGGCCTGGTGCATGGGTGGGGGCCAGCTGGTTTGCCCTGAAGGGTGTCCTGGATCAGGGTGGGGGTCCCCACTGGGGTGCCTGGCCAGCCTGGGTGAGGGGATGATGGCTATTTGCATCTGGTCACACCCCCTTCAGGGTGGGGGTCCCCACTGGGGTGCCTGGCCAGTCTGGGTGAGGGGCTGAGGGCCATTTTCAGGCTGGCGGGTGACTGAAGCTCCCAACCTCTCCTTTTTTTCTTTTTCTTTTTTTTATTCTGCGATTTATTTACCTTCTATGGCTGTCACTGGAACTGAGAGCCGGCTTTAGCTCTGAGGCTCGGCTCCAGCTCTAAGACCTCAGCTGCTGAAAGCAGGTATCTGGGTTTGTTTGGCTTCTATAATTGAAACACTGTTGCAGCTCCAGCTCTGAGACCTGGCTGGCTGAAAGCAGGTTTCTGGGGTTTGTTTAGCTTCTATAATTGCAACACTGTTTCTTAGAGTGCAGCTCAGAGGCCAGCAGTGGCAGGCGGGGAACCTTGGCCTCCTCCATCACTGGAGCAAGCAAGCCTCCTGTTCGTTTCAGCTGCCTGGCTGCCGGCCGCCATCTTGGTTGGCAGTTAATTTGCATATCACCCTGATTAGCCAATGGGAAGCGTGTCAGAGGTACGGTTAATTACCATGTTTGTCTATTATTAGATAGGATATAAAAGCCTAAGTGACCATTCGACCGATAGCTATGATGTACACTGTCCACCAGGGGACAGACGCTCAACGCACAGGCATGGAAACATGGAACAGACTGATGAATCTCAGAGGGAAGGAGGGGGAGGGCAGGAAGAGACTAACCAAAGATCTTATAGGCATGCTAGAGGCCCGGTGCATGGATTCGTGCACTGGTTGGGTCCCTTGGCCTGGCCTGCGGGGATTGGGCCGAAACCGGCAGTCCGACATCCCCCAAGGGGGCCTAGATTGTGAGAGGGCACAGGCCAGGCTGAGGGACCCCACCAGTGCATGAATCTGTGCACCAGACCTCTAGTTATTGATAACAAGCCCCTTTCAACTACACCAGAGTTGATGTTAATGAGGCAACTTGTGGAAAGCTCCTAGGTAACCTAAGGATGAGAGCTGGCTGCCAGGGGAACCAACCAGGATGAGAGAGTTGGAACTTTCAGTCCCGCCCACCCCTAGCCTCTAAGAAATGGGCTGGAGTAGAGATTGAATCAATCATGATTGATCCATGATTTAAACAAACATGCCCGTGTAATGAAGCCTTCATAAAAATCCAAAAGGATGGGGTTTGGAGAGCTTCCAGGTTGGCCAACAAGTGGAGGTGCTGAGAGCAGTGCACTCTCAGAGAGGGCATGGAAGCTCTGTGCCCCTCTCCCTGTGCATCTCTTTCACCTGAGTTCTGTGAGCTGCTCTAGCAAATTAACTGAACCCACAGAGGGAATCTAAGCATGTCAATACAATGCAAATTAATCACTGCTAACTGAAGGTTAGGTGGAAGTTCTCAACTGACCAGTTAAGTGGATTTTTAACTATTAACATTTCCTTTTCACTTGTACCAAGACCCCAAAATTAATGCTAGAACTATATATAGTTTGAGTTCAAAAGATCTATCTGCTGCAAACCTGTGTAGGAATGAAGACCTCACTTCTTTTTATCTGTATGGGAATGAAGATCTCATTTCTTTTTACTTTTGACAGCATGGGAAATAAATAAAGCAATTTGACATTGTATTTGATTCAAGCAACATTAGCTATCAAAATGAATTCACCATAGTGTGAGTTTTCCATATAAGTGCTGCTTTGCCTTGTAATTTAGGTTAAATATATTTTAAAAACATATGAAGTCTACAGAAAAAGCTATTTTCCAAAGCAATTCAATATTTCAGAATAATAGTTGAGGATGGGTATTTCAGTTCAAAAATATTTCAACCTTGGTCCTTTGTTCAAAATATTGCAATAATATGTTACCACTACAAAACCACTGAACAGCTGTATTGTATAGCAGGACAGGATATTCAGCTTTGATTTCTGACACAAATTCATGAAAATGATAACACTTGTGTCCACGAGACTTAATGAAGTTCAACGTTGATACTACTGGTTCAATAACACATGGCAGGTTAAAATATTTGCTGCAAACCACCTGCTGATTAATAAGACAGCATGAGGTGCTTACAGTACCTAATATTTAACCATTTGTGCATATTTCCAACTAGGCCTCTTTCTGCTTCACACACGTCATCACTCTCCACTATAATACATCTTAGCAGATTCGAATTCAGTTTGTGCCAGATTAGTGTTTTCTGAACGTCTTTGGAAATGCTATTGACTATAACTGTACCACATAAACTATTCATACAGGCTAATTTCTCAGTTACTTCAAACTCAGCACTGACTCTTCAAATAACAAGAACTGAGCAAAATCAGTAACATTTTTCAACTCAAAGAGCCAAAGAAAACCACTCAAAATCATTTCCCTGGTTTTATAATCAACCATTGATGTTGTTCCCAATTTCCTCAATTCTTGAGCAACTGTTCTCACCAAAAGGCTAAAAGTCTTAGACAAGTTAATTTTCTGTGGACACTTTTCTTTGGCTGCTGCAATCAGACATGATTTAATTATCTCAACATTGGTGTAAGGCTTTCCTTGCTTGGCTAACAAATGAGCCACTCAAGGAACTTCCTACAGTTGCAGCCTCATTTCATTTTTTATTTTTGTAAAGTAATTCTGCTATGATAAGATATTCTGTTTTAAATTTTCTAACTTTACTGACTGCTGTTCTCCTGTGTTAGGAATGTTGGAATGAGTGCTCAGTGTGCAAACATTTTTATTTGCTTCCATTAGTACAGTTGTAGTGTAGTTGCATAATAAACAATATGCTGTCATTTAATTTGTTAACAAAATAATCCACATTCTGCTGTGCTTTAAACGAATGATATTTGAAGTCTATCGTTTTCTTCTCCTTAATTTGCCATAATCCATATGTACTATTAACAATGACACAATACAGCAATATATACAGTGGGGCCTTGACTTACGAATTTAATTCGTTCCGAGACCGAGCTCGTTAAGGAGCTCGTTAACTCAAATTACTCTATCAACTCAATGCAAAAAATCGGCTGAGAGACAGCTGGTATCTCAAAAAACTCGTTAGTCAGGACACTCGTAAGTCAAGGCCCCACTGTATAGCAGTTCCAAAGCTATCAAGTTATAACTGTCACTGCAATTTGCAAAGCAATGGCAGTAACACATGCAGTGTGTTTCCCTGTCACAGGGCCAGTCTCTGTCACAATAGTCAACTCAGCCACTGTGGTGCAAAGGCAGCCGTAGACAATACATAAATCAACGGCATGGCTGTTTTCCAATAAAATTTCATGGCCACTGAAATTCAAATTTAATATAATATTCACAAGTCACAAAATACTCTTTTGATTTCTTTTCAACTATTTAAAAATATAGAAACAATTCTTAGCTTGCAGGCTATAAAAAATGGGTGGTGGGCCAGATTTGAGCTGCAGGCCATAGTTTGCTGAAATATGATTTATAGGAACTCCCAGATGTGTAGTGCTATTCACCCTCAGATGCACCAGACTCATTAAATGAATCACATGACATTCAAAGCTAACACAGGCCACATTAAATGAATCATCTTCCCCTCTGTTCTAAATTTTCTTGTCCCCCTGTTTCTCCAACTCAATTCATCAAGTACCAACCACTGAATCCCACAAAGCAGACCTGGCAAACTGGGAGTCATTCTGACTCCTCTCCTCCACTGACTTCCACTCCAGCACATCGGTGAGAGAGAAAAACAACGGAAGGTGTCTCCTGTGCACGCCCAGCCTGGGGATGAATCCGCAACCCGAGGGTGTGCCCTGACCAGACTGAACTCCCAGCCTTTTGGTGGGTGTGATGATGCCCCACCAACGGAGCCACCCGGCCAAAGCTCATTCCCTAGTTTTGCTCCTGAAATCCATCCCCACACCGCTGCCAGGATGGTCTATGTAACGTATAAAACTGTACCACACTCCCCTTAATACCCAACTTGAAATTAGAATAAAATCTGAATTCCTCAGCATGATCCACACACTGGAAGCCTCATTTCATATCTTTCTCCCTTCCTTGCTGTCCTCTAATCACACTAGCCTTCCTCTCATCTTTCACACCCTAGTCCTTTCAGACACCAAACTCACAGGAACAGAAATCAGATTCATGGCTACCAGAGGGGGGAAGCCGGGGAGAGGGGACTGCAGAAATGTACCAATTTCAGTTGTAAGATAAATAACTCCTGGGATATGATGCACACACGATGCGATCACTAACACTGCTCCATGAGACATAAGAAAGTTGTTAAGAGAGGAAGTCCTAAGAGCTGTCAACACAAGGAGATTTTTTCCCCCTTTTTATTTTCTTTTTATTGTAGCTACATGAGAAAACAGGTATTAGCTGAACCTATTGTGGTAATCAGTTCACATTATATGTAAATTAAACCCTCATGCTGTAGGCTGTAAACTTATTCAGTGATATATGTCAATTATTCCTCAGTAAAACTGGAAAAATGATTCTTACCAGGTTGTTGTCATCCTGGAAAGCATAATGCAAAGTTGTAATCCATTTATTGTCTCCATTCACTAACACATCCCTTTCTTCACGAAAACATGCCGTCTGAAAAGAGAAAATGCATTTTAGATAGAGGACACTTTATGTAAAGCTAGGAAATACACTATGCAGACATTCGCTCAATGTATTTGTTATACTTGCTATTCTGGAAAAAGAGTGCATCCAATATTATATGACTTTCAACAAGTCAACCAGAAATAAGACACCTGGAGGAGTATGCTTCAAATACCATTAAGAGTTCAAAGAATCAGGAAGCACACAGCATCATTCAACACTCATGGTCCAACCTGCCACCTAGATAATACACTAAACATTTTTCCACATTTACTTCTGATCTTTTTATTTTTAAGGAAATAAGATACAAGTTGTAGCCTTCCTACTACTATTGGATTCTCCTCCCTTCCTTCCCTGATATAATAAATAATCTGAAGTTAGCATATACTAATAGTATTCCCATCATATGCTTTGATCACATGTCTGTGACTAAAAAAATAGAAGTGTTTTGAAAATTTCCAAAAATGGTATAATTTTTATCTACTCTTTTGCAACTTGATTACTTTTTACTCAATCGTGACTTATTTTCCTCTAATTGCTATGATATTCCACGTTTGAATACTCAGAAATTTATGCAACCCTCCTCATCATGAAAACATAGGTTATTTGCAATTTTATGTTATTACAATGTTGCAATGAATATATTTGTACAAATATACAAGAGTTTATCTAGATTATACATTTAAAAGTAGAAATGGTAGAAGCATTTTCAACTGCAGCCACATAAAACCAATTTTCTTTTCTAAGTGGTGTGCCAATTACTACCCTCACCCCACTATATGAAATCTACCCTTTTCCTCACATCCTCAACTGTACTTGGCATTATTAGACTTTTAAGTGTGTATCAATATGATAGGTGTGAAATAATATCTTATTGTTCTCTTCATTAATTTATTCCTACTTATAGGTGCAGATAAATAACTTTACATATATGCTTATTGAACACCTGAACTTTCTCTGAACTGTTCACTCCCTTTGTCCATTTTCTCTAATGAATTGTCTTTTTCTTTTTTTTTTTTACAGAGAGGAAGGGAGAGGGATAGAGAGTTAGAAACATCGATAAGAGAGAAACATCGATCAGCTGCCTCCTGCAGACCCCCTACTGGGGATGGGCCCGCAACCAAGGTACATGCCCCTGACCGGAATCGAACCTGGGACCCTTCAGTCCGCAGGCCGACGCTCTCTCTGTCCACTGAGCCAAACCGGTTACGGCTTGTCTTTTTCTTATTAATTTGTAAAAGTTTTGATTTTTTCTGAGAACATTTCCATATTATAAAGGTAAAGTAGAAACTGAACATCTCCATGAGTCGCCCTTACTTTCATTATCCACTTGCGTCCAGAGGGTACCATGTAAGTTCTGCTGAATATCTTCTCAGAAAATTTCTGTGTATACATAAGCTTATACACACATACCATACACAATTCATGTGGTATCCCATATCTTTTCTTTACAAATGAGATCACAGTACTCTGGAGGCTGTTTGGTTAAGTAACAAACAATATATCTAAACACCTTTCCATTAGAGACCTAATTTTTCTTAATGGTTGTACCATGCTCCATACACACTGAAAAATCATCATATAGTACTCTACATATAGGTGCTTCATACTTATTTAGCACAAGGTAAATTCAACAGCAATGACATACAAAACAATTAACATTACCTATTTTACCCTAATTAGGTATCCTGATTTTTAATAAGTATTTACATAAATTTTATTTGATCAAATATAATTTCCAAAGACATGTATAAAATAGTATCACCAGAGAAAATATTAAAAGCAATTAAAGATTAAACCCTGTAATTGGATTATTAAAATCTACATTATGCTTTGGTTCATTTTAGGGAGAAAGTGGAATCACTTTGGCATGCTCACCACTACATTTTGGTTTAGAATTTAACTGCTGGGAAGTTGTGTTTGCTGCTAACCTTTCAGAGTTGGTAAAGGCTATGAGGGCCTAGGAGACACCCTTCTCCCGGCTTTCCTTTATTATGACTGCTATCTGGAATTTTTGAGACATTCCAGCTAGAATCTAATAAACATCTGATAGATGACTCCAAACTAAATAAAGCTCCAAAGACTTTTTGTCAACAAAACAAATTAAACTTCAGTAGATTCTTTTCTATTCTGTTTCATAAAAAAAATTTTTTTAAATAAAATATAAAGAAACTATTTATATAGTTTAATATAAAGTTCTGATATAAAACTTTAAATATATACAAGAATGTACCCATCAATCAACTTCAACAATTATGTTATTGCTCAATCTTGTTTCATCTTACTACCAACCTCCCTCCACACACATATGTGCACACCCATGTGTACAAATTTTCAAGCAAATCCCAGACATCAGTTGGCTTTATCCATAAACATTCAGGATGAAACTACTCCTATTAGTGCCTCAGACACTGAGTTTTGATGTGAAGTGCAGTCTCTTTTTTTGGTTCAATAAGTCACACTGTCCTCAGTTGTCACAACTGGGGCGAAGGGCGTTAATGCCATGGCATCCAGTGGGAAGGGGCCAGGATGCTGCCACACATCCTACAATGCATAGGACAGTCCCACAAGGAATTATTTGGCACCAAATATCACAAGTGCCCTTGCTGAGAAACCCTGTCCTTGATCAATATTAGCCAAACCACGATGCATACCATGAGGTTAATAAAGTTGTCCCAAGATTCAACATGGTTAAAGGCTGTAAAAATCTCTACTTCAATTGCCCTTAAAAAAAAAAAACTGAAATAAAAAAAATATATTCCCCTTTAAAAACAGAACACTTAAGTCTCTAAGAATGCAATGACCAGGAGGAGGGGTTACTGGAGATCACATGACTTCTTCAGATCCTGTCACTCAGTTTATATTCAACCAAACATTTTGCTGGGGACAGTGATGGATTTGACGGATTTGCAGTTTGACATTTTTATTGTTTAAATTTTATCCTTAATGGGCTATTGGTTAAAGAGAAAGAGCAATAGGAATACCTATGATAAAACAGAAGTTCATATGGCCCAGATAAAAAGAATAATAATTCTGCAAAACTGTCACATGGTTCTCTTCCCTAGATCCATAGGTACACAGTCATAAAGCAACACTCTTATACATTCCTATACAGTACATCCAATTACCTGAATACTTGGAAATCATGTGTTAAAACAAGAAAATCCACTCATGACTATATGTACTTTTGGCTTCTCGTTTAGACTTCTATCTCCTATAAAATATTAACAGAGAAATTCTTTCAAATAATAACTAAATTATTCCAATATTCGAGGGGAGAAAAGCCAAAACTTTTCATTTTTTTAAAAAAAATAAACAAATGGAATTTTAAATTAAAAAAATGCAAGAATTCCAGTATCAGGTCTTTTTTAATGTTTTTATTGAGTTTTTAGAGAGTGAAGAAGGGAGAGGTATAGAGTAGAAACATCAAGAGAAACACTGATAGGCTGCCTCCTACACACTCCCCCCCGCCCCAGTGGGGGTCAGCCACAACCCGGGCCGGTGCCCTGACTACAAATCGAATTGATGACCTCCTGGTTCTTGGGTCAGTGCACATCCACTGAGCCACACCAGCCAGGCATCCAATGTCAGGTCTTATACACCAAGACATCAATTTACTTTTAAATCTCCAATGTATATTTGATGGCTGAACCAAACATGGGATGCCACTTTTTAACTTATCTGTCAGAAAAAATGTTTTAAGGAAGAGAAATCATTTGATAACATCTAAAAACTGGCAAATGAGGGAGACAACAAACACGTTTTCAAAGACAATTTAGCAATAGCTACTAAAGATTAATGTGTGCTTGTCCCCCGAACCCAAGAGGTTTCATTACTGAGGAGTTAATCCAGGGAGTGGATAAATTCTAGGGTCAGCACGTGAAAATCCTATAGCGTAAAATTATTTTTAAATCACTTCCACCCCGGGACACAGCAACTGGAGCAGCCCAGGACAGTCAACGGCGCGTCTCTGATTAGCACCGCTCACAGTCCCGGTGACTTTCATTTCACGTGCACATGCTCTGAGACTGCACGATGCACCCGATGGCATAGGGCAGCGGTTCTCAACCTGTGGGTCGTCACCCCTTTGGGGTCGAACAACCCTTTCACAGGGGTCGCCTAAGGCCATTGGAAAACACATATATAATCACATATTGTTTTTGTGGTTAATCACTATGCTTTCATTGTGTTCAATTTGTAACAATGAAATTGGGGGTCACCACCACATGA